CGCCAGGTCAAAGTGGTTCCGTTGTGTAGTGGTATGTCTCTCGCTTCACATGTGAGAGGTTGCGGGTTCGAATCCCGTACGATCCATTTTTAGTTCACCTGAGCCGATGGCTCAAGTGAGCTTTTCCGATCACATTTTGTCCGTCGTCCGTCCGTCCGTCCGTCTGTCTGTCTGTCTGTAAACTTTTCACATTTTCGACTTCTTCTCAAGAACCACTGGGCCAATTCTAACCAAACTTGGTACAAAGTATTCTTGGGTAAAGGGAAATTTAAATTGCTAAAATGAAGGGCCAAGTCTCCTTACAAGGGAAGATAATCAAGAAAAGACAAAAATAGGGTGGTTCATTGAAAATCTTCTTCTCAAGAATCACTTGGCCAGAAAAGCTGAAACTTAAGTGGAAGCATCCTGGGATAGTGTAAATTCTAAATTGTTAAAATCATGACCCCCGGGGATAGGGCGGGGCCACAATGGGGAATCAAAGTTTTACATAGAAATATATAGGAAAAATCTTTGAAAATCTTCTTCTCAAGAACCACTGGGATAGAAAAGCTAAAACGTATATGGAAGCATTCTGGGGTAGTGTAAATTCTTAATAGCTCCCTGGGGGTTGAGCGGGGCCACAATGGGGAATTCCAAGTTTTACATAGAAATATGTTGGAAAAATCTTTGAAAATCTTCTTCTCAAGAACCACTGGGCCAGAAAAGCTGTAACTTATTGGGAGGCATCCTGGGGTAGTGTAGATTCTAAATAGTTCTAATCATGACCCCCGTGGGTTCGGCGGGGCCACAATGGGGAATCAAAGTTTTATATAGAAATATATAGGAAAAATCTTTGAAAATCTTCTTCTCAAGAACCACTGGGCCAGAAAAGCTGAAACTTATGTGGAAGCATCCCGGGGTAGTGTAGATTCTAAATTGTTCAAATTATGACCCCCGGGGTTGCTGGGCGTGGCCACAATGGGGAATCAAATTTTTACAATGGGGAAACAAAGCATCCTATGGTAGTGTAGATTTCAAAATGTATAAATTATGATCAGTTGGGTAGGGTGGGATCACAATATGTATTACAATGTACAAGGGTCGGAAATCTGGTAAAGAACGGAATGATCAAAGCTTCTCAGGTGAGCGATGTGGCCCATGGGCCTCTTGTCTTTTTTTTCGATTTTTTTTTATTAAATGAGTTTTCAGCATGTGAAATGAAAAATTTATAAGGTCTGGCTTGTGCATACTTATAAAATCATCATTACAGTGTGATAAATATTCCACATAAAAAGAATCTTCTATACATTGTACACATAAAAAGAATAAGCAATCAAATTTTTATAAATATCCATATTGATTTAAAGGCATATTTTATTTGCTTCAGTATACTGTATACATTTGATAATTCTACAAATACAGTCAAGGGGATCCGTCTCCCAAACCCCCCGCGGCCCCCCCTCCCCTCGAACTGCGCATTGTTTACTTTTGCCTTAAGCGGGGGACACAAATTCTCTAAATTAGCTTGTTTAACGTTTACGGTGTCCCAGGCTTGACAAGAAAGACTTAATACACTATGATGACTTCAAACATGCTAGATGCATGCATGTCTTTCAGTGCTTCTGTCACAATCAACTATATGAGATATTCCTCTGCTTCATGACACAGATTCTGGGAAAATTTATGAAAATCACATCCTTGTGAATTTTTAATCATTTTGTTTGCATTAAATTGTGAGTTTTTCCATAGAAAGTTGACTGCTTTCATGTGTCATAGACATTTTCCAGTGCAATTATTTACCTTTAAAGTAGGAGAGTTGCGCAAGGGGACCTAACTCTGACTAGGCAAATGCAAAAAAATCTAAATATTAATATTAGAATTAAAGGCATTTAAATGAAAAAAGATTTCTTTTCTATTAATAAACAATTTCTAAAAATTTAGTATGTCATGAAAATACCATTTAATCATTTAAGTAGCATTTTGTAGCATGAAATGGCATGTTTAATTTAAGATTAATATTGAAAAATTCACCCGTAATTGGAATTTTTTTCTGTGATGCAGAGTTGTTTGCCAACGACAATTTTTTAATATGTTTTTCTTCTATATTGAATAAATTCAAAACAGTATAATTCAAATAAAAAAATCATCCTCGCTTAAAGATACGATTAACCAAACTTTGGGAAAAAAGGTCTTTATTGCTAAAATCTAGATCCTTTGTATATTCCCTGATATAATGTCGCTAAATACAAAATATATATGTAATTTTTTTTAAATGAATATAATCAACTACTATTGCACTACCATAACATATGCAACAGTGAAATAAAAATTATAACAAATATGTTTAAAAGACGCACTTAAAATGCATCATTTTCAATGAATTTCAATGCTCTTTTTTCACTTTTTTATAGGAAAACAAATAATCCCCGTTACTAAAAATAGAAACAACTTACAACAAAATGTAAATCATATTTTAGGTCATTTGGACCAAATCTTTTTTTGTATGGGTCACTTTTAAATTTACTACGATAATGCATCTGGACAATTTTTTTCAATTTGCATGGTTTTCTCTGAGACAGACACTTAAATATATAAAGTATGAAAGCACTAACCCAAAACCTTTTCAAGTTATGGTCATGATTTGCTTTATAAAAGTAGGTCAAACTCCAAGGTCAAAAGGTCAAAGTTCTGGGTCTTCTTACAAGGATTACATATGTACGTATAAAAAGCACAATTTATCCCTTACGGTTACCATTCAAAACTTATGGCCAAGGTTAAAGTTTTTTCATAAGTATGGAATCTCGTAGGTCAAGGTCAAAAGGTCAAGCTTGTTAATATCTAATGAAAGGTCTTTCCACAAAAATACAAATATGAAGTATAAATGTCCTGGTATCTAATGTTCAAAAGATATGGCCAACTACCTTAAGGCAAATGTTGGGGTCAGAATATGAATAAAAAATTCCCAAAGAGACAACAAATCATGTTCATTCCAAGCCTCCGTCTATCAGTACTTTCAGTACTTTGATTATTAGGCCTAACCATGCATTAATTTCCGACAGGTTATATTCTGATCATGCTTATTTTTCGCTTACCAGTAACTTCGCCTCTGTGGATTTATATGCGATCTTCGATCTTTTATTTACACATGTAATCAGTGATGCATCGGAGCATCGGGATGTTTCGCGCCCAGAAGTCGCATGGTATAATTCGTTCCAAGTCTGTTTCGCACTGGAATTTATTTCGCTCCCGGTAAACTTTTTAAAGCGCATTTATCATAACTGTACACAGGCACTTGTTTCGAAAATAATTTTTTAACCCATAGTATAATAATTACGGTGGCTGGTATATAAAATAATAACATTTTGGGTTAAAAAATTATTTTCGAAACAAGTGCCTGTGTTATTATTATACTATGGGTTAAAAAATTATTTCCGAAACAAGTGCCTGTATAACTGTAGTATAAAATGATAAGACCATGGTTAATATATTCAAAATGATATTATATCTAGCAACAATTACGAAACAGTTAATTAGGCAAGGGGGGGGGGCTTGAAACCAGTTTTAAAAAATCCAACCCAGAGCCGCAAAAAAAAAAAAAAAAAAAAAAAACGCTACGCCTTCAACTCGATCGATATATATCGTAATAATATCGGCGATATGTTATCAATATAACAAAAGTTACTTTCTTTCAATATGATATCGACTCGATATTATTGCTAATGCAGGGGGGGGGGGGGCTCTAAATCCGCCAGTCCATTTTTTTTAACCTAAATGATGCCCCCCCATTCCGACACCTGATCCGTTCTATGGAATTTTTGGAGGTCTGGTGTTTATGCCTTATGGACAGATTTGTAATTTTTAAAAGATTTTTTTCTTTTAGATGGAGATCAACCACTGCTCGTTTATATTTCACCTTCCTCATCATCCATGTATCTAGATTATAAAATTTTATAAAAATCAAATCTGATCGAACATAATTACCCCCCACCCCACCCCTCATGGCAATACCACATCTATAGTCACTAGATCGCGATTGTAAATGTAATATTACAGCGTGTGTGGTCTCTATATTTGAATAAACACAATAGCGGTACTTATATCTAAACAATAAAATATTTAATTCTTAGTATTAATTAAAAGTTAATAAAACATAAGATTAACAAAACATTCTGACCATAACACGCATCACTATCGAACACGTCTAGATCTTGGGTTCGGTGCAGTGAAAATCTAATTAACCCGTCAAAACAGCTTAAATCTTAAAGATTTAAATTATTTAAGAAATTCTAATCATTTTTCTGAATTTTTTTGAAAAATAAAAAAAAGTCTAAAAGATTTGTTTCAGAGTTTTTAATTATATATCTATAAATAAAAATAGAACATTTCCTCTCTCTCTCTCTCTCTCTCTCTCTCTTATACATTTTATGACTGAGTTCGAGGGCAACATGAGTTTTGTTGGACCCAAGAACCAAACTGTCTGCCCGAGGCCGTTAGGCCGAAGGCAGACAGTTTGGTTCGCCCGAGAACTCGGTCAATAAATGTTTTTTTATACCTTTCATTTGAATTTTTTTTTTTTTTACATACATTATACATGTATTTTGTACTGTTTTCCGTGATTTAACCTCTTTTCCGTCACTTTTGAACACCAACGAATGAAAATGAGATTAAGCTCCGCCGATTTTGTAACGTATTAGCGGTCCAACATCTCATCGACCGGTCCAACATCTCACTCAGCGGTCCAACATCGATTCTTTATGCCCGCTCAGCAAAATATTAGAAATATTAGACTTTTTTGTATAGGAACAATTTTTAAAGGTACAACAAACAACATTCTAAATATTGCCGATTCGGCGTAAAACATTTATGATCAATCAATCAATCTCTCTATTTATTTAATCAGAAAATTTAACTAAAACATTAAGCCAAAACAAAAAACACATTTTATTGTATCATAACCATCATTTTTCTATTGTCATCTACATAAAATGTTCGAAATAACCGTGGATATAATTAACCTCCGAAGCACATTTTATTTTCTTCGTGTTTCTTCTTTCTCACACATTCACAAAAACTTGTACTTCACATACTTGCAACATATTATTTGTACCGCTTTGAATCTGGAGAGTTACGAAGTTTCCTCGTGTATCGGAAGGACAAAGAACAAGAACGCGGTCCCCGTTGACAGCAGGTCCCGGATAATAGCCGCAGTCGCTTTCATCTGCATTCTCAGCAACAGTTATCAGAAGACTGTGTAGGTATCCCCCTTTATAAAATAAAGAATATCATCATTATAGGTTATTGTCCCCCGCTTGTGCCTCATGTGAGTTTTGGTGCATTCTTAAAGTCATTTGTATACATATGCGTATTCATTGAAAGGAAATTCTTTCAGCATTCCCATGATTCCTTTAAAATGATAAAATAATGAAGTTTTATTGTCATCCTTACCGTGCAAATCTTGCCTATTGTACACAAGGACTTTAGCAACATCAAACGTGTTCTGTAGGTCTATCTTTATCCACGGACGGTTTTCGAAATCTGTATGAGCAGTTGATAGTCCGTTTGGACATACAGTGATATTGTCAACAGCATTGGAAGCGCGCTGGTAGGCTGGTTTGAATGCAGAACTCATATTAGCTGGTTTGTTCACAGCAACTACAAATATAAATTTAAAAAGAAAAAATATTAAATAATCAAATCTCGTTTGCTTTTACATTTCGTAAATAATTATGAAAGTAAATGTACGGCGTGTAAGTTGGTTACCTTCATATTCTAGTATTCTTGACAAATAAAAATGATCGATTCAGCTATACTAAACAAGAGCAGTAAATTATTTTAATAGTCCTTTAGAAACTCTTTTCAAAACTCAAGTTCAAAATTTAAAAGAGAAGCATCAAATTGAGCAGTGATCGATGATTAAAATGTTGTCCAAAAGTATAACTTGAGTGAGCTAATTCAGAGAATTCATGTCCCCTGCTGAAGGAAAAAAAAGACAAGGATGCTCAGATTGGGGATTCGACCCCCCTCCCCCCCCCCCTCTTTCCCCTGATTTGCAGAATTATTTAATTATGTTCTGAAACAAATAAAAAAGAGACAATGTTGATATAAAGATTTGACTGCACATTCGTTAAAAGTGTATATATGTATGAAAAATATTACAAAATTAATCACACAATAATTAATATTTTGTACACAAGTGTATATATGTATGAAAAATATTACAAAATTAATCACACAATAATTAATATTTTGTACACACCATAAGTCATAACTGTAGTCTTCATTTCAGATGCTAATTGTTATTATTTAGGCCAAGTGATTGATAAAAAATACATATTTAAAAATAGGATTAACCGGAATTTGAACTGGAGCCTCTTTTGTCAGGTGCTACAGAAGACAAACATGGCATACATGTACCATAAATGTCTATAAGGAACACAATACGTAGAGTTAAGTGCAGCTGAAGTGATAATGGTAACAGTCTTTAAGTAGAGTCGTTTGTTTCTGATTTGCCCTTTGATTTAAAGTGTACATGTATCGAAAAGGATTGGGCGAGGAATGGTGGAGAAAAAAATCCCAGTAAAAATAAAACAAATGTAATAAGAGGCCCATGGGCCACATTGCTCACCTGAGATTAGTTAAAAAACACAAATCATATCAGTATTGAAAAGTTTTCTTGTTGGGGGAGGGGGTATTTGAATTTTTTATTACTTGAGAATGTCACTATATCAATAAAACATATACTGGAGTATGTATAATTTTGCAATACTTGAGAAGAAGAATTTTAAAGATTTTTTTCTATATATTTTCATGTAAAGATTTGATCGCCCATTATGGCCCCACCTTACCCCCAGGGGTCATGATATGATCAAACTTCAATTTACTCTGAGGATGTTTCCATATTAATATCACCAATCATAGCTTTGCTGATCTTGAGAAGAATATTTTAAAAAGTTTTTTTCTATGTTTACCTATGTAAAACTTTAATCAGCCATTGTGGCCCCGTCCTCCCCCCACGGGTCATAATTTTGACAAACTTGAAACTACACTACCTGATGATGCTTCCACATTAATAGTTACTTCTTTACTGGCCCAATGCTTTTGGAGAAAAAGATTTTCCCTATATACTCCCATGTAAAACTTTGATCAGCCATTGTGGCCCCGCCCTACCCCCAGGGGTCATGATTTGAACAAATTTGAATCTACACTACCTGTGGATGCTTCCACATGAGTTTCATCTTTCTTGGTCTAATGGTTCTGGAGAATAAGATTTAAAAAAAAAAGAATTCTATATATTCATATGTAAGATTTTGATCAGACATTGTGACCCCGCCCTACCCCTGGGTCATGATTTGAATAAACTTGAATCTACACTACCTGAGGATGCTTCCACATTAGTTTCATCTTTCTTGGCCCAGTTGTTCTGGAGAAGATTTTCAAATATTTTTCCTATATATTTCTTTATAAAACTTCGTCATAATTATCTCCCCTTGGAAGAGGGCTTGGCCCTTCATTTGAACAAAATTGAATCCCCTTTACGCAAGGATACTTTGTGGATAGTTTGGTTGAAACTGGTTTGGTGGTTCTTGAGAAGAAAATGTGAAAAGTTTACGACAACGACAGACAACGGACAAATTTTGATCAGAAAAGCTCACTTGAGCCTTCGGCTCAGTTGAGCTGAAAAGGTCAGATAGTGATTTAAAGCAGTATGCAGAGTAACAATAGAATATTTGAAACATTATAAAGAAACATTCTTAAAGAATACATACCATTAGTGCTTTCTTTTTCAAACTGTTAAATACAAAATATAGATTCATCACAGATAAAGTATTCCAATTCTAATTTTTTTCGGGGGAGGAGGGTTCGTAGATTTTAATTGTGTAATATATGTACTGATTATTATGTTATATTGTTCCCGACGATGCCATATTATAGTAACCGATAGCACAAATGAGTATTTGCAAAATATTTTTATCTGCAATTGTGTAAATATATATTTCCACATAATTTTATTTCAAATTTTCTTCATTTGCATACGTATAAGACATATAATTCTAGACAGAGACAGAGATTAAAACAATTAATTCGATCATCCTAATTATACAAATTAATAAAACATGATTCTCAATATTTAAATTTAGTACACAATGCATTGAATGCAAGCTGATGGAATGATACATTGTACAGGTTGTTCTTATTTCCTCTGAATTCCTCATGTAACAAAAATATACAAACATATCTGTGAATAGTAGAAACACGTACCTTCCTTAGATATCTGCAGTTAGTGAGATTTTTATTTGAGTTTTCCTTCCCGAGTTTCATCCAGAAGCAGCATGCTCTACATTGATACAGATCCTCTCGAATTTTACAGATCTCCAATCCAATGCATCGGCCGTCACCGTTACATTTGTAAATACAGTTTAAGGCGACTGACGTAAAACTTGACCCCTCAGTGGTTAACAGAAGACTAAGCTCGTCTGACAAAGATCCCAAAAACTCCGTAGAGAACTGTCCTTGGTACATATGGGCATAAGCAGTTATAAACAAAATTAGTATCAAACCATGCCTAATAGCTTCGGAGAGACAGAATGACATTTTTTCATGGATATTAGAGATTTTCAAAAGTGATTTAGTTTCTGTCGTTTTTTAGTTGGTCAATGCTTATAACCAAACCTCGACAAATATCTACCTTAAAAAATTGACATTTATATTCCTCACGCAATCAAGTAGTCACGGGTGTCACAGTTACTATCTCCTCAATACGGCAATTTGTCAGTTAGGAACACAGAGGATTGTCTTATGTCGCATATGCGAGATACTGTAATTCTGCTTGCAACCTTTAAAGTAAAATGGTTTTAATTATGGCAGGCAATTTTCGCTGAAATTTAGAGATTCATTTCTGTTGTTACATATATTTGATGTAAAATATTAAATGGAGAAACTTGTATTGTTTCCAAGAAAAGTGTCTTTGACTGCCTCAGTAAAAATGAAAATAAATATTCATGATATGCATTGTGTTTGCTACATTATTTTTTAAACGAGATGAATGCAAGTGTCACGAAAATGAAAAAAAAAAAAGAGAAACTGGTATTTAGACACAAACAATATTTATTCTTTCATCTTTATTCCTGAAAATTTCCCTTGTGTAAACTTTTAAATATTATATTTCAGCTCACATTTCCTTTCTCTTTTGCGTTATACAATATTCGTTAATATCATGTCTGTTTTAATTTACATGTGCTTATTATAAGGACTCTTCAAAAAATGTTTTATAAATTATTTCCTTTGTTCTCATTTCTATGCTAGAAAAGAAAAAGAATTGGAAACAATTTTGCAAACACCTTGACAACATTTCAGAAGCCAAAACAAATAAGAGAATCACTAAATAAACAAATAGTGCCATCAATAAATAAGGTTAAAGAATAATAATAAATTTTCCTATTATTAGTTATTTGATTTCATAGAGAAATGTTTTTGACAAACTACATTGATGGCTTTGACCTTTTATTTACAATAATGTTGACTTTGAAAAGTTTGTTTTATTCAGATGTTCAATTAGAAAATGTGTTTTATCACATCATGCCACTTAAGGTATAACTTTGAAACCTTTTACATGTATCAATATGACACTTTACTGATTATATTAGTTAAGTTAGTCAAAAAATATTGTATCTCGTTATAATAATATTATGTGTTACACGAATATGTGTAATTAGGAATTAAATAATTTTTTTTTAAGAAATAATAATTAATGGGTTTTTTTTTCTTTTTTTTTCACATTCTTTTTCAGTAAGAATAAAGTTTTTTTTCTGATAAGTAAAGTCTATATTTTTTGAAAAATGTATGAAAAATACCTAGATAGGAGGTTTTTTTTTTATATCTGAGAACAGTCGCTAAATGAAATTTTTTGATATATATAGCGGTATTGCAACCACTATTGAAATAACGACCACTATTGAAATAATTTTATCAATAGTGGTTGAGAGTGCATTTCAATAATGCACTCTCAACCACTATTGATATAATCATTTCAATAGTGGTCGTTATTTCAATAGTGGTTGCAACATAGCGGGTATTCCAATTTAGAAAAAAAAAATTTCATGGGTCAATCACATATATTCTTAATACACTTAAGATCTATTCGGGCATCATATATCTTTCAAATATTGTAATATATATGCTACATAATCTCTACACACTCAGTTGTACTTATTCATTGTATTTTATATATCTTAAGCTGGGGCCAATTTAGATACTTTTTACGTGTATAAAAATATCAAACACACGAAGCCCATTATGTATAAGTTATCCCACGTTTCCAATTATCGTTGATGTCCTCGGTATACTTTACTAAGTACTAAGACAGTGATTCCTTATGTTTTAATTTTGAAATAAAATTGTAAATTTACATTTCAAAAATGTAGACTAATGATTTAAAGCCAGGAGGCCTCCCGTGTCAATTTCAATAGTCCTCAACGAATGACACCAACCACAAATACAGCCACACGAGATTTACATGTGTATTAGGCCTCCTCAGCTTCAGACACAAAGACAGATACCCACGAGATTTACATGCATATTAATCCTCCTTAGCTCCTGACCTATCGATCTCCCTAATTTACTTTCCGGCGGAATTATCAGGAAATCAACTCCAACTTTCAAAGAGTTACCACAGAGAAAAAAAACAAATAGAAATGGAAATATTGTGATTTAAATTCAACAAAATATTTCCGTCAAGATATTATTTTTTACTGACTTTTATTTTCCTGTTTTCTAACATTATCATAAGATAAATAAGTACAGATGTCACTCTATGACACGCAAACTATTTTATCCATATGTTATCGGACTGTATCAATCTAAACATTATTCTGTTGCGCAATATTAACTCTAAATATAGCCTTTTATTCCTGCTACACATATTTGGATAGTCAAAACAAGGAAAAAAATAATTGAACAAATGAACTAATCGGTTGATCGGACTTAATATGTTTTATTGTTCCTTTGGTGTTTTGGAATATGGGCTGGCAAAGTATTACGAGAACGGATTTTAAATGCCTCTTGAATGTCTGTTGAAAATCCTTTATTTCTAAATATTATAATCATGCTGTAAATAAAGTTTGAAGCACTATACATGCCCTTGCGATAAATTTACAACAAGTTATTTAAATCTAATAGACATGTTTATTTGCATAAAGCTATAGCGTTCGCTTAATTGCTACCAACCCATTTAAAGGGTATTAGTATTAAATGAATCTTTACAAACAACTTGATTTTAGACATTCCCGACCAGTTTCATAAATATACTTCCGATCATGTTTAGGCCAGATAAGATATATACAGCTAGAAACGGGAAAGTTCATCCTAATTATAAACGGTAAAATGTAAATTTTAGGCATTTGTTTTTTTAAATAAAAGTCTTCCTAGAAAAGTTGTTGGTCGAAATAAGGCTGAAATATTGCTTACTGAGGCTACTCTTTGCAATTTAACTCCAATCTATCAAGCCCCAAAAAGTTTTCAATTTCTTTAGAAAAAAAAGGATTTACACATTTTTCTCTCTTTATTTTGATCTTATTCAATAAATATATATATCTAGATCTTCACCATTTTTCAATTAATTTAATAATTCAGTTGATAATGTAGTTACTTATATTGTATTCTAAGTTTAACCTCAAAAAAGAAAAAAACACGCAGCAGTTACATACACAGATAAACTTCCGATCAATTTTCAAAAAATCATTGTCACATGTATGGCTAATCGCGATCGACACCCTGACCTAGAAATATCAATATTTGTATTTTTTAAAAGGCATACAGATAAATATCCATGTTTTACGCAGTTAATTTTTAAGTTTCGTTTTAAATTCTAAGTAATTGATATTACGCCTGGTAACGATCAAATTAAGATAATTTTTTTGCTATATTTTCCTGATAATCGGGACATGATCAGTATTTAAAGTCTCCGGATATAAACGATAAAGGCAAATTCGTTGAAGATGGCGGAGAACAAAGATGGCAGCGATACTAACCGAATAAGAAGAGAACAATTTAGCGTAAATGTGTTTTATCTTAAAAGCGAGGAATCGGTGAGGGAATTTATTACGAAGTTACCTAGAACAATCAACGTCGTTGAATCAAAGAAAGAAGAAATCAGTAAGTTTTAATATACTAATATGTATTTATAGATTATTTTGATAAACCTTTTAATATGTATTTGAGAATAAAGATTTGAGTTTGATATCAGTATATATTATAGCTTATCTAATAATGTATAATGTTCAAGTGCATTTTCCGTTTCTGAAAACGAAATATGTATTGAAATTTAATTTTATTGATATCGTTATTAACAAGCAGTTTTATATGACTATATGTAGAAAGGATTACTCAAATAATGAAATATGGAACTAATGGAATTTAATGTTCATGAAACCTTAGAAGACAAAACAAAGAACTTTTTTACCCACAAAATATGTGTTCTTTTGTGGTAAATTATATTATTTTGCCTTCTCAGTAAAGTTTCAAATATGAGCAATAAGTTCAACCCTCTAGTGGTTTGCTCATTCTCGACACTTTTTGGTTAATTACCTTGCGTGTGACGCCTCGACTTGATATTTATCTAGAATAACTTATCTTATTTTCATATTATTTACTGTACTAGTATTTTTTATTTATCCAAATATTTGAAAAGCTCATGTAAGGGCATTGCAAATAATTATTTCAGATGCTATGCCGTCATATGGTGATTATTGCCTTAGTTGGTCAATGAAAATTGAATCGTCTCTTGGTGATGAACTAACAGACAGTATGTGCCAGTTCTGGAAGATGATTGATAGGCCGGCAGAAAATATGCCCTGGTTCCAAATTATTCCACATAAAAGGCAGGGTTACATGCCTCCACCAAAAACAAGAGGGATTCATAGAGAAATTGAATTTCTTGGAGGAAGCATGACTTCGCCAACTAACTTTGTGAAGCACTGGGAAACAGCAGTTTCTGTTGATTTCCAACAAGACAAGTCTCTTTTGCTAATTGAAGATTCAACGATGAAAATTGAAATCAACATATCACCTGAGTTCCTGCACGATTATGTTATAGTACACTTACAATGCAGTAATGTGTGCTTTTACTTCAATGTGAAATATAGCCCAAAAGTATTCTCTGCTAGTTACCCGTTCATGTTTGGTAATCTAACAGAAATAAGACTATCAGCCAGAGACCTTCCATTTCAAACATTTGGGTCGTTGAGTTGTTTTTGCCTGAAGCTGAAAAAAGACAACCCATTGATACCCAGGATACTTTGGTATATTCAGTACGTAGGTCTATTTGTTGCGTACACTCATGTGACAATTAATGATTCTCAGCAAATGGTGGATGTTTCTTTCTCCAGCTTCGAAATAGCTTATGCGTGGGAATCTCTGTGTTCACAGGGGTTTAAAGTTGTGGACCATTTGACAAAAGCTGTTGTAGAGGAAATCATCAGTCTTCAAAATTCTCCAGAAGTGATACATAATATGGTTGGTCTCATTGCGGAGAAGCCTTTCATTCATTTTATTAGT